GCTGTACGGGAATGTCTGGCGCGCCTCCAGAAGCGTCCCACAGCGGGGCATCCCGCTCCATGTGACCGTGAATGGAAAGCCACCCCCACCTCCCTGGACCCACCCAGGCCTTTGATGTCCGGGAGGGAGTTCTGGGGGAGGAGGGGGGGAGGGTCACACAGAGATCCCTAGCAGCTCCGGGGGAACATAGCTAACGTTAGCGCCCGGCAACCTTCACCGCGGCGCGCCGTCTGCTGCGCCCGGCCATGTTTGAGAAGGGGGGGGGAGAGCCGAGCCGAGCCGAGGTTAGCGGGACACGTTCCGGAAATATGTTCTCGATGGGTTCTTTTGAAGTCCGTTTCAAATATGCAGCTCGACAGATTAGATCCCTGCGACGTCCCGTCAGTCGAGGTGCTTACTCATGAAAGCTGCGAGCGTGTCCGCGTGTTTTGGTCAGCCTTTAAAAAAAAAAGGTGTTGGTACCTCCAGTGCCAGGATGGTTTGAGACAGCTCCATTTATAGTAGTGAGTTAAGAGGTCACGACCCTCCACTGGATATTTGAGTAGTGACATCAGCCATCGGTTTATGGGAAACGCTGAGTTCTGCATTTTGGATTTGGCCTGAAGGGTCGCAGCACGACGCCCAGAGAGAGTTCAATCATTGAATCGCCAAATAGTCAATATCACTGATTCGTCAAACGTGCTAATGGCTCAATTTACACAGGAAGAAAAAAAAAACACACTTACTGGTTCACAACCACTGAGCGAACTCCATCTGCGGATGAAGACCATCCTTGCGTAATGGCAATAGCAGAATTCTTTTTTACAGCCTATATTAAGAAACAAAATTAACAATCAATTCATGAGGAGGCATCATGTGTTTTCAAAAGGAAGGTGGAAATTGTCGGCCGAGATGGTAAAAATGTCCTTTTGAAGATGCATGCACCTTTACTTTTTGCTTTATTCTTTCCTAAGCAAAGTAGATTTGAACTGCTGCCGTTGTTGCCATCGCTAATGTGGAAAAGGGAAATCCTTGGAGTGGGCTCCAGCGGCAGAACCCGTTGAATCTTTAGAAGCCCAGAGTATACACGAGCCTTCCTCTGTTTGTGTCTGTCTCTGGGCCTCTGTCTTGTCTCTCTCCCCCCTTGTCTTCTCCCCTCCTCGGGTCTCAGCTGGCTCTCTCCCTTCGGCCCTTTGATGTCGGTGAAAGGGTTCGCAGCTTTAAAGTGCTTCTGTTTCCGCTGTCAGGAGCCGCCTCTCTTCCTGCTCTCGGGTTCGGGCTTTCAGAGCGGCGGCAGCGCTGTGCCGTGGCCGGCTGGGTGGGGCGGGCGGGCGGGGGGGGGGGGCCGCGGGGTCTCTATGGAGGTGGTGAGATCGAGCCGAAGTGGGAGGTGGAGATGGGGGGGGGGGGGGGGGGGTGTCTGTGTGATGCTGTCGGCCTCGGTCAGCAGAGAACCTGACACCCGACGGATCCCAGTTCCCTCCAAAAGCCGGCTCGCGCTCACTCGGCCCCTTGTGGCCGCGGCGGCAACGTGTGAAGACAGATGTTTTCATGCACATGAGCACATGTGGTGTAAACCTTCCTCCACAAAACCCCCATGAAGCACCATTGCAACCAAGGACTTTCACCAAAGGTGCCGCGTTTTGCATTTGTGAATATTTGCCACTTTGAGTGCACCGCGAACGCACGAAGGAGCCAAAAGACAGACAAAGACACTGCAGGTGATGCACAGCGAAGTCAAAAACATGACAATATAGTTACCACTAATAAATGTATAGATTATAGCGAGCGAGTTGTTTTTGTGCCGGAGCGAAAGCAAGCGGGGGACCTCTTTGTTCTGCTAAGTGCGCGACAGGCTCCTTTCCACAGACCCGATTTAAACATGTCATCGCAGGGTAAATACAGGTGTAATTAATTGCTGTAATTAATTGTGGCCCTGCGTTGGGGCGTGCAGGCTCATTACATACTCGATAGAGTGGGATCGTAATGAATTTATTCAATTACACCTGTGTTCACCCTGCTGCAACACGTTGGAATGTCTGCCGTTAAAAGGGACGAAAATCAAAATGAGAGACATCTTAACTCGACTTAATCTGAGTATAATGACTAATACTGCTGCAGAACGTATGAATTTCTTTTTTTTTAAGTTCTGTTTCCTGGATCGTATTTAATTTAAATACCAAATTTTCCATTTCTCTTGCTTCCATTAGCAAAGCAGCGGATAAATGTCCGGTAGATGCCGGTCTAAGTGGTTTTGGAGAACATTAATAGATATTTCTCAATGTGAACTTGAGTATTCGTGACTTCTCAAGCTGTTTTTGCTTTTGTCAAATCTCCGCCTTGCACCACTCCGGCAGCTGTTCGTGTAAAACTCCGACCCACCAATTTCCTATAAACCCTTCTGTGAAGCACACATTTCGATTCCGTTTCATGCGTGACCATTTCATGCCCGGGGCCAAAAGTATTTTTACTGCCCCGTTTCATCAGGCCGTCGTGTCGACCGCTGCACCGCAATGATACGTCCCGGCCCGAGTGATGTCATCGACCTTCACCGCGACCCCGGCGTCTCCTACTGCAGCTTCCGCCCGCCGAAAAGACATTATTAGTGTCGGCAGTTTTACGCCAACACACACACACACACACACACACACACACACACACACACACACGCCCAAGAAACCGCAAAATCTTTTGGGGGCATATTTGCACTCGGCAAGTGTGTGTTCATCCGGCGCAAAGAGACGACCGACCGCCACGCGATGTCCTAAAGGGGCGCCGGCTGCTTCCAGCGAGGCCACGTGAGAGGAAATGGCTTCCATATGTCGGCAGCTCGGTCTCTCCATGAGCCCCGTTTGTCTTTCTTTGAGGGTTTATGGGGTATTTATGAACCCACGGGAGGGGAGGTGGAGGCGCGAAAGGAAGAAGTTTTCTTCTTTCTTTTCTTTCTTTCTCTCCGGGTAAGGCGAAAAGGAGCCCGCCGGGTACGGCTTTGATGTAAATCTTAAATCAGGTGTAACTAAGACGCGCACACCTACCCAGCCGCCGCGCCGCTGCACACACACGCGGGGAGCCAACATTCCTGCACATTGCTTCCTTTCGTCATGTTGATCAATGCACTCCGCCCACATGCTAAGGCGATCACGGCCCTGGCAGAGAGCGAGCGGAGCGGCGCCCCGGGTCTCGGACGCCCTTTTTGCATCCGTCTCTCTGCGGTCCGGCTAAAATCCCCCCCCCCCCCCTTCTTCTTCCGCCCCTTTCCTCCCAATGCGTAGTCCATATCTTCACACGCTGCCTCCTCCTCCTCCTCCTCCGTGACTGCTGTTCCTGCTCTAAACCGACTTGCTCCCTCTCTCCAACCCATGAGCGTTAAACAAGCTGAAACCTCGCCGAGGCACCCGCGCCACCATCTTCCCACCAGTCAACACGTGTGCCGTCTTTCTATGTCTTTGCCAGGGTCAGTGTGTGTGTGCGTGTGTGTGTGAGCTGCATGGTCGGCATCAAAGTGGCTCCGCGGCTGTCTGGTGGATCTGTGTAAACGAGGCGTGCGATGGTGGCATGTGGGCTCGCGTACCACAAACACAGTTGCCCTCGGCGTGACTTGCGAGGCGCGGAGGAAGCAAAAAAACAGCCTCTCGCGGAATCTCTCGTGGACAAACCGCGGAAAAAAAGAAGCTTTCCGTGAGCATTGTGTTTGCCGATCTGCTCAGCTGTCCCCCCTTTTGCACACCTTCACACCGAGACGTGTCCTTTTCACCAGAACGCCGGGCGTCAGCATCCCTGAGACATGTCGTCACGCACAAGCCTTTGAGAAATCTCCTCCCGTTGCCCCTTCGGGCTCATTACAGAAGTTGGTGTGTGTAGATGCCGTGTGTGCGTGCTTGTGTGTGTGTGTGTGTGTGTGTGTGTGCGCTCAGCACTCGTTATTGAGCTCTTTCATTAGGATGCCTGTGAAGGGGAGCGACGGAGGAGCCGCCGGGGGACCAGGGGACGGGGCGGAGGTCGTAATTGGGCAGTTTGGCTCCCCCGGCCTCGCTCAAGGTCACCGCTAGACAAAACTGATCTCGCCCCCCACCCCCCCCCCTCCTCCTCCTCCAGTCTTTTCCCACCCTGTCCCCTCGCTCCGCACCTCTCCTTCTTAAATCCCAACTTCGTCTTGCTTCGCTCATGCTCTCCTCCTCCTGGGCTCTTTTGTCACAGTAGACCGGCCCGCTGGGGAGGCACAGAGAAGTGCAGGGGCTAATTTGGTCTAATCTCTTAGCCTGTTAATGTCTGGCTGATATGTGGATTTCTCCACGTCCTCGGGGGGGGGAAGGCCTTTGTGGTGAAGGCCATCATTATAAAGTTCCCTTGCCCTCCCAGCCAATTATAACAAGGGAGAGAAATGAGTTAATCTCCAACTCGGCTCCTGAGAAGTTCTTCCCAACTTTTATTTTACTTCTCAAAGGCAGGAAAGGTTTTTGATTCGAAAAACAACAACAGCCCAACAGCGCTTATGTTTTCAAGACACTTGCTGAGGGATTGTGTACAACATTGCATCCGTCGTTTTTTTTTCCGTAACACGTTTTCTTTTGCTCAAAGCCGAGTTCCGAAAGTGGAAGGGTAAAGCGGTGCGGCGCTGCTCGTCTGGAGACGGCCGGCGGTGAGCTCGCTCCGACGTCTCCCCTCTGATTAAGACGCGGTGGTGAGAGATGCCTTTGATCTGAGGAAGCGTCTGCGTAGGGAGCCGTTGGAATGCAGCGCTCTCCTCGCCGCCTCGCACATGCGGGCAGAGAGATAATGCCACGGCCCATTTGTCCGGCTTTGCCGCAGCCAGCGCACCCACGACAGCGGAATCTGGAACCGTGGGAGCAGCTGGATTATCGATGTTTTTGTAAAAAAAAAATCAAACTTGAACTGTGAACCGTGTGTTTTCAAATGTCCCAGCAGCACCAATCGTCCACACGCGTGTTCCTCGGCGAGCGTTCCGTGAACGACGTGTGCTCACGCTGCCTCTTGTCTTTCTTCCCTGTGTGTCTCTGCAGGCCTCCCGGCCTGGCGGGCAGTCCGGCTTTCTCAGACATCTCCCTCATCCGGATCTCGCCCCAGAGGAACCCCTCCGTGGGGGCGGAGTCGCCCTTTCACCCTCCGCACCCTTACATCAACCCGTACATGGACTACATCCGCTCGCTTCACAGCAGCCCCTCCATCTCCGTTCTGTCGGCCACGCGGGGCCTCAGCCCTGCAGATGGTGAATAAAGTGAAACGCACACCAACCACACACACACACACACACTATCGCAGACCCGCGGCTCAGATGATCGCTCAGATGCTTTGCTTGAAATTGATCAGAGAGGTTCGATCGCTATTAGCGGGAACCTCAATTCTCTGGATCAGTTTAATTCCTCTTGGAGATCAGAAGAGGTCAGGCGAGAAGCAACGAGATCCGTCTTTATTAACAGCCGGGGGTTGGTGAGATGTTATCCGGGGGGGGGGGGGGGGGCCGGGAATGTTATGAATGGGGGGGGAACCCTGTGGGTGGGGGGGGGAGGGGGACCTGCAGGTTGGAGGGAGGCTAATCCTTTTGATCTGTGAGTCGTGTCAGAGACCTCTGGAGGATGCATCAGTGAGCGGGAAGGGTCACGCACAGTTCCAGCGCTCACGCATGGGGGGGTGGATTCAAGTTTAGGGTCGGGGGGGGGGCGGCGGCGTTGTGTGTGTGTCTCCTACGGGGAGCATGTGTTTCATGAGATCTCACCATGGATCTGGACTGGGGAATCAATTAGGAATCGAGTGTTCTGTGGTGAATTTATTGGATGTGTAATAATCTTAAAAATAATATATATATTACGATAATGGCACCAAAAAATTGCTAAATTTGCTGTTTTTAGGCAACATATATATTATATGAGACTGTCATCTTTTCTTTAGACATGTTATAGATCAAAACAAAAATGACATAATAATCAAGAATGATTGTTCTAATCTTGTTATATTATTTTCATTCATTTTAATATTAGTGGTTATGCAAACCAAAGCTTCTCCAGCCAGTGGTAAAATCCAGCACAGCAAATTTATTTAATTATCATTTATTGAAAAGCATATTTAGCATTACGCATTTACCTTAAAGGTCTTGAAATGGTCCGATGACCTTACGTCATCAGCCATCGACCTCTCGACACACTGGAGTGTATTTCTGCAGATTTTGCTCCACTTCCTCTCCTCCTCGTCCGTTAGAAGTGAGTCTCGCACATCCGCCTGCTCTCCTGCACTCGTCGAGCGCTTTTAGATCAAAATATTTCTCTCCATCCTAGGATCCGCTTTTAGCTCATAACGCTGTGAACGAGGCACCTAATTACTCCTTTAATCAACGCAGTGATTAATTAACCCATCAGCTTTTGTGTTGTTAGTATATCACCACGCTTACAAGGTGCCTCCTTCTTCAATGTGCTATTTTTTCCGCATTTGAATAATGATGAATTAATTAACGGAATCTAATGGAGATTTAAAGTGGGTGGGATTTAGTGCCACCCTCTTGCTGCCACACATTTGCTTTCACGTCTTTTCACACACTTTTTTCTCTCTTCTCCATGTGAGATGGGGGTTCAGAGGTAAGCTGGCCCTGATCCTATTGTAATGCTGAAGGAGCACCCGGTGGCTCACCAAGTCCTGAGGCACATCTCTGCCCGAGTGCCACACCGACAGCCTGCCCCCCCACCACCCTCCCCTCCCCCCGTTTCTGCCCCCAGGATCGATCCTTGATGCCAGCGTTTCTGATTTAGAAATTCTGCAAAGCCCTTTTCTCTGCGTGTTGGATACTGAATGGGCCATATTATGCTTGAATGCAAAAGCAAAGCTAAGGCGGAACAGCAGAGACAATTAAGAAACTCCCCCCTTCCACTGAAGACATAATACCCAGATCGAATTAATTTAGATGTTTTTTTTTTCCTACATTTATTCCACCAATCAGGGATGCATTTTGCCGGCATGCAGGCCGGTCTTAAGAGGAAATCTCCTCATACAGCGTTCCTTTATTTATTTCCTCTTCGTTTCTTCAGTTGAGGGAAAAAAAGAGCTGCAGCACTCTGTAGGTCTGAACCGAGTCCCTATTTGCATCCAAAACCACAGTGTTTGTCTTTTCCCTCTCTCTTTCTTTGGATATTTGCATAAGGAAGCCCACCACCAGATGTTTATTTTAAGGATCTGGCTCAAGGACTTACAGCAGTCTTTAAGTTGCAATGGTAGAATCGTTAGGCCTTTTGTTTCCCCCCGTCGAGTTTTAAGGCCGCACCCGTCGAGGAGCAGGCTGCATATCTGCAGGCCCGATGTGTGCAACACACACGCAGCATCTCTGGCAAACAATGTGTCCGCCCACATACTCTTACCACACACACATGCACACACTCTCTTCAAGGTGATCAAGAGACAGTGAGAGAGAGAGAGAGAGAGAGAGAGAAAAGGCTGTTGTACTGTAAGACTATCCGTGCATCAATCAAACACTAATGCACGCTCACTGTAATCTCTGAGCACGCCAGCGCTAATCCCCAGTGAGGCTCCCCACTTCAGGTGAGGCTCCCCGTGCAGCTGTTCTGCTTGATGGTGCTGCTAATGTGCTCGTTACTGTTCTGCTGAGCTGGTCGTCATCTGCTGCAAACGAACGGAGGTTTGTCTTGCGGCGCCGTGCGGGTGCTCGTTCCTTCTCTGCTCTCTCTTCTTCAACCCCCTCCCCCCCGTCGCCCTCCAACCGGCATCCTCGCCTCCTTGTCTGTCCCCTTCACGATTTCGGGCCTCCTCCTTGCTGACGCGATGGTTCTCCCTCTGCAGCCCCTCACACGGGTCTGACCACGGCCGAGTACTACCACCAGATGGCCCTGCTGGCGGGCCACCGGAGCCCGTACGCCACCGACCTGCTCCCGTCCGTGGCGTCCACGGCCGGCGCCACCAGCGCCACGGCCCTGCACATGGAATACCTGCAGGCGATGGAAAGTAAGTCCGCGCTGATCACACACAACCTGAGGAACCAGTAACTACATTCTTCATAAAGCATTACGAGAGAGTCACACTGACTCAGGGTCAGTGTTTAACCTAATGTCTTTAATTTTGGTTATTTCTAGACACATTTCTTTGCATAATGTTGCTGTAAAAACCACGGATTTTCTAAATTCTTAACTTTCATGAGCTACAGTAATAAAAACACCCATTTGTGGCCTTTTTCCAAGGCACATTTCCATACATAAAAATTATTCATACTTAATTGAATTAATTTAGTTAATTTAAGTAAATATTTGGAAATATTTTTTTTCCTCCACATATTTTTACTACACATTGAAACAATTCCAAGTAACATCCTAAAACAGGACTTTTCAGCTGGGTGAAAAGACACCCACCACATCCATGCCTACAGGGATTAGACCTTTAAGTACCACGCGTGCTTACCTGCACATTATAACATGGGTGGCCCCGGTGGGAATTGAACCTCCACAATGCACCTCTCTCTTGCACTATATATAGATCGAGCTGCAGCTCAGCGGCGGCGCGGAGGGACCTGCGACTTTACTTTGACACGATTTAAATGAGCTTTTGTCTTAATGTGTTGGGCTCAGGGCTGTGTGCAGAGGACTTATGCTAATGAGTTATTTTAAAGTGTAAATAGGAAATTAAACGCACACTGAATCTCCAAAAGGTCGGACAGCCTCACCCCGCTCGCTTTGATGAGAAGGTATTTAGTCAGGCCGGCGCCGCTTTCATGGAAATCCGGGGTGAAGTTCCACCATTCCTCAGAACAAACTAATTAAAACTAGCCAAACTTGTGCGGGTATCAGAAAATTAATTGCTATTGAGTGGGAATTGGAATGTCCCGCCATTCATCAGGAGAGAAATCCTTTCTTCTGTGTCACTTTTTAAGATTAATAGACTGAAACAAAACAATTAGGGCCAAATTTAAGTGGAGATGGGATGCTCTTCGCTTAAAGAAAAAAAAAAAAAAAGGCTTGTGATCATTGCTGGTAATAACTCATCATGTTTCAACAATGTGTGTTCCAACGACGGAAAAATTAACACCTTAAAGCTTTCAGAAAGAAAAGAAGAAAAAAAAAAACGTACAAAGAAGAGAGTCAATCAAGAGGCTTTCGCTGATAATCTGGGCTACTGTGTTACTGCTGCTATTTTAGTCTATTTCACATCAGTGTAATTAGCTTCAGAGAGAGTTTTGCATGAAACAATGGGCCAATCCTGCCTATTTGTGCTTTAATGGGCCATTGTCTATGTGCCTAATTAGTGCCACAGCTCTCATAGATCACTAGGCTAAAATCTGTATGAGTTCATTTTAATTTCCCCGCTATTTGCTCCACTGATGGTGTTTTCCCATTTAATGGTTTCACATTTAGCGGCGCTTTGAACACGGAAACTCCTGTTTGGTACAAACACAGCGTTTTCTTGCAATTACTGATTTGACTTCTTTTGCTGCAATACGAGATGCACAAAAAACGCTTCCGGACGGATCTTCAGGGGTCACACCTCAGCCTCCACCTTTGACGGCGTCCCTCTCAGGTGGCCCCAAATTATGTCGGCGAGGGTTCAACCCCAGTTTTTTTTCCCCTTTGCGACGGCGTTCGTCGGCCGTGTCTGAACACCCCCCAACACACACACACACACACACACACACACACCCCGGCCACGAGAATTAATGACGCGGCGCGTAACCAGCCGTCCCGTCCATAAATCAAGAGGAAATTAGAGGGACGGTGCCGCTACGAGCCGGGACGCTCCTCTCTCCGTCTCACCGGTTAGCCGATTCATCATTTGGGCTGTGCATTAATAAACACCACTCCCATGAGGCTTTGCAGTGGCGGGACGCTGGCCCTTCTCCTCAGCAGAACACCCCTCTCGCTTGTAGTGAGTAGCAGAATTCACCAGTGGTTGATTTGTCAGTTCAGATGTTTTCCCAACCTGGGAGGAAAAAAAGAGGATTGTTTTTAGCAGGATTATATATTTGGTTCAAGCTGAATGACATAGTGAAAAAGAATTGGCACGCCGAGGAGCGTCACATGACAAACTGCATTGTATTCAGCAATTGTGCGCACTCGAGGGGATTTGCACACGCGTGCCCCGTCTCCAACACCTCCTTCAGCAAGGCACACAAAAAGACACATTTTCCATACAATGACAATGTAAAGGAGGCGTCGCTCCGCATACAGCGGCGCGCGGTAGTGGAGACGCGGGCCTGTGTTTGCCAGAACTCCACCGCTGCCACCGCCACAGAGGCGTCCACACGCACACGCACACACACACACACACTCTGATTAACATGTGAATGGAGCGTTCTGTAATCGTTGGATGTGTCAAACGAGAGATGGAGCATTTAGGTTCGGGAGATGGATGGATTGTGGGGGACGTGGAGGGGGGGTGCGGGTGGGGGCGCTGGGAGGGGGAGGGGGGTATTAGGGCTGCGTAAGCTGGTTTTGTTTGCCTTCACAAAATAACTCAAAATGTTTTATTTGCGAGTCTTGAGTCACAAAGTCATTGTGTCGGTTCACGCACAAAGCGCGACATCCCCTCAGCGCCCCCCCCCCCCCCCCCCTCCCCCTCCCGTCAACCTCTGTTTTTCCCTGTCTGGTTTGTGACATCTCCATGTGAAAAGACAACAAAAGTCATGTTTTAATCTCCACCCGTGGCTCATTGTGCGCACACAGAGAATGGTGGCGCCGTTTCCGCCTTTTACCTTTTCAAAACCCCCTTTTGAGTATTTCCAGTCAACACTGATTGCATTTGAATAACGAGTCAAATCGGACTTGATTAAATAATACCATACACAGTCAGAGCATTTCTCCAACATAAAAGGCGTGTTTTCTCATGGATGAAATGCAAGCAGTGCATCAAGTGACAGCCGAACACTCATTCAGATAAGCCCTTTGTCGCATGATTGACAAGAGTGTCGTCCGTTTGGGTTCGATCGGGTTAGAGGATTTGGAGGAAGACGATAAAAGTTGGTTCCACAGTTTTGAAGATGACGTTTTTCCTCACTCCGATCTCGCCCTCCGCCCACCTCGTCCCGCAGACTCCCGTTTCTCCAGCCCGAGGCTGCCGTCCAGGCCCAGCAGGAAGCGCCCGCTGCCCATCTCGCCGCTCTCCGACCACAGCTTCGACCTGCAGACCCGGATCCGGCACTCGCCCAACTCGCTGGTCACCATGCTCAACAACTCGCGCTCCAGCTCCTCCACCAGCGGATCCTACGGGCACCTCTCCGCCGGAGCCATCAGGTAGTCATTTGCAAATGTGTGCTGCATGTGTTTGACTTAAAGGTTATTATTATTATCTACTAACAGAACGCTAGACGTGTGGAATTGGAAAGAGGTTTTTAAAAGGTAGTGGATTCCATTGAACGTAGGATTCAGTTTCTCCGGAGCTTTCGTGCAGAAAAATCTGGATATTTCAGCCTCTGGTGCTTTGATTTGTATGCTTTTTTCTTTTTATCCGTCTATTGTGCGTCTCCTAGATTGTCCCTTTTAAGTTATAAACTCGTACACTGTCAGGATGCCTGTGGGGAGCCTTGATTGATTGTGCTTCGTTCAAGGTGGTCACATTGAAATGTGCCGTTGATAAAGCAAACAGCAGCCTCTCCGCGGGGGGGAAATGATGAGGTATCCATATTTTACCGGTCACATCGCACTGCAGTAGAGCAGAGGAGCGTCGTCCACGTCCAAAAAAAACAAACCCATGTGGGTGACGATCTCCCGGCGGCCTCGCGTCAGTCATCCGGTTCACCGCGCGGGAAACATCGCATGCATCACGGCACCAGAGGCGCGCGCCGGCGAGCAAAAGAAAAGAAGAAGAAGAGGAGGAGGAGAAAAGGGAAAAGCAAAGATCCATCGCCCCCACCCACGGCCATTGATCAGCGATCCGCGCGCAGAGCCCTGATCAATCACGCTGCGCGCTCGGTGACAGGGCCCCCGGATGGCCGCAGCCAACGGACCGATGAGTGATATGACAAGCCCGCGGGCCCCCGAACGCGTCTCGGCCCATTGATTTCCGCTCGGCTTCGTAATAAGATCGGCAGACGTATGGGGGCCGCGCGGCGGGAACGGAGGACGTGAACGGAGGCCGCGGCCGGTCGGAGGCGGTGCGGTGGCTTCTGGGATTTTTTTTTTAGGGTAAACAAAGTTTGCTCGGGTTGAGGGGGACGGCGAAGCGATTCGGTCTTTAGTTACACGGCTGTACGACACACTCCGGATTTGTCTGTGATCCGTATCGTTTGCCCAGTGGAGGGACGACACGCCGCCTTACGCACAGCAGATAATTCACCGCGTGTTAACAAGCCCAACATCCATTGGCAGGGATTCGCCGGCAGGCCCGCGGTTCCAGCATTACCACACCGCCTCCTGTCAGATTGTCCTCGGGGAGGAGAAGCTATCCAGAACAATCCATTTATTCACCGTCTCCTCCCCCCCCCCCTTTTTTTTTTGTTCCTTGGCAAACTGATGTTTTGGTGAAGTTTAATCCTTTGATCGTTCTACCTTCCCGCCCTCACCAGCCCGGCGTTGAGCTTTGCGTACCCTTCGACCCCGGTGGCTCTGCACATGCACCAGCAGCTGCTGGGCCGTCAGCCGGGCATGGTGGGCTCCGCCTTTGGCCACAGCCCTCCGCTCATCCACCCGTCGCCGGCCTACGCCACCCAGAGGCCCGTGCCCGGCATCCCCCCCTCCGGGCTCAGCGCCAGCGAGCGCTCGGCCCTCTCCAGCGACTCGGCGCAGGTAAGAGCGGCGGCCGGTGCCATTCATCATCGCGGGTAATGGATAGCGCCGTCGCGTGCCAGCCACGTCTCGTGGAGAGTTGCGGCGCGCTAACGTGGTACAGCCCCACCCCCCCCCCTCCACCAGCTCATCTCCCGGGAGTTTCCTCCTACTTGTGTCGCCTCTTGATTTCAGACTGCCGAGCTCGGCGCTGAGCGGCGCCGGCAGCAAGTAACAGGGGGCTTGTTAGCATAGAATCCCACTGCTGACTCCATTAATCACTAGAGAGAGAAAAGGGACACAGAGAGGGAATATTGACATGGATGGATGGATCCAAAGGGGCTTTTTCTCTCCACACACTGCCCTCACTGCATGTGCGGGCCCACATTTGAAGTAAATATTCCATGTTTATTACCCGTCCTCGCCGCTCTTTCCCATCCCTCAAATTTGGTGTCAACGTAAATTCAAATTGGGCACAGCAGTGTGGTTTTCCTCCTTCTCCCGAATGGACAGAATATCGCAAAGCCGAATCTCATATGTTGGTTATCGGTCTCAGAGACCTGACAGCATCTCTACAATCTCTGTGAAAAAGAGTTAACACTACAAACGTGTTCCTTCTTTTACTCTCTCGAGCTTTGTATTTCAACAATATTTGCCCCAAGGGGAAATGTAAGCCAGGGCCAAAGCCGGGTCATCCGTCGGTTCAGTGAATGGTTCATTGAATTGGTCCATGAGTTTGTTTTAATTGCCGTGATTAGAGGAGCTAATACGAGTCCGTGAATTGCATACTTTTTCATTCGCCCAGTTAAAGCTCCGTCTGGGACTATTACGGTTTAACCACAGTTGTGTTTTTTCTGCTTGATGAAGCCAATGATTGATTGACTTATAAGCATCACATGCATTTTTTATGATTTTACAGAGGATATCGTAAGAAAATAATTCGTGTTTAATATATAATCCCTGTCTCCTCAGACCAAACCAACAAGTGAATCTGCAGTGAGCAGCACGGGAGACCCGATGCACCACAAGCGCTCCAAAATGAAACCAGAGGAAGAGTTGCCGAGTCCGGGCGCAGTGAGCGTGCAGGTGAGGGTCGTCCACACTCATGATGCAAATACGTCCTTCTGCTGTTTTCATTTTTTTTTTTTACCTTTTTCCACTAGTCCAGATAATGACTGAGAACAAAAGAGAAGCTCACCGGCCCCAGTTTGCATTTATTTACCTGCATCTGGCTGTTTCCTCGGTGTTTCCCACCGCGCTCTTATCGGCCGCTGTTTCCGAAAGCAAAACAATTCATTGATCTCTTGGGAGACGGGGAGGAAATTGTTTTTGCTTTTGTTTAATCAAAATTTTAAGTGGCTGCAAGGAGAAATATGATAACAGCAAGTGTTGGTATCTGCGGGAGAAACCTTATTAGAGTGGATATTCAGGCGGCGGCGGATTCAGCCTGAGGTTTTGAGGGGTGGGAGTCCACCAGACTCCTCGCCGCTCCTCTCAGCCGGCCGACTGTGACAGTGAAATATGTCTTGGCTAATAGAGCGACCTACAGCAGGAAACGGGGGGTTAGGTTCCTCAAACGCTCGCCCCCAGTCCTGTCGTATAACAACCCCCCAAAACACAGAGCGGGGCTTTCAGCGCTACATTTCCGCTCTGCACACTTTTTTCCCCCCAGGCAGCCAAACAAGGCCGGATTCACAGGGTGTGACCTTAGATATAAACCAGCAGGGCAAGAAGAAATGGTTGAAAATGACAGATTTGGACTGACTGGTTTTTCTCTTTTTTTTTTTAAATGTATGTCTTTAAAAAAAAAAAAAAAACTAGAACTTTTTCCACTGTTGCTCCTCAGGATCACCCGGACGGGATGACCCTGGTGAAGGAGGAAGGGGACAAGGACGAGAGCAAGCAGGAGCCTGAGGTGGTTTACGAGACAAACTGCCACTGGGAGAACTGTTGCCGCGAGTTCGACACGCAGGAGCAGCTAGTACAAGTGAGCAATGCACTTCTTTTTTTCTTTTTTTTTTTGTAAACGGCTCGATTGTCTGCAGAAAGCTTTCCTGTACGCCTCCAAACCTACAATATCCATATCCTGAAATATTGTGAATTGATTTCAACAGGAACACAATAAAAACCCCATTGAATCAAGGTTCTGCTTGCTGCTGTTCAGCAGATGTTTCGCAGTTCTTCTCCAGCACCAGCAGTTTCTTGTAGGGAAACAAGTCTACTTTAAGATGGCTGACAACCCACATTAAAACTCACCACAAACCTCTTGGTCTTTGAACGCTGCGAGCTCAGGAGATCCCAACCGCTCACGCCGCCTCCTATCAGGCCAGAGCCGCGCGGCCTGCGCGTCTGCGCTGCAGGCGGCTCGACTGGCGCTGCTGCTGGATTCCTGATCGGATCCAGGGACAGTGGTAATGGGCCCAGAAGCCGGAGAGCGCATCTCAACAGCTGAGCGCCGCTAACTGATTTGGCGGGTTAAGCCTCCCGGAGTCGGGGCGGCAGCTTTGTGCACAACACTGGACCTTCCTCCTGTCCTGTTATCACGGCTCGCACAGAGCCCGGGAGATGGATGGCTCACTCGCGGTCAAAGCCAAATATTAATGACATTATGCCCGCGACCCCCCCCCCGCGTCCTCCCCCTCTACTTAGTTCTGCTGCTCTATCGCGGCCTCTGAACCGCTCGCGCGTCGGCCCTCTGAGGGAGCACACTGAAGTTGGAGAAGTGGTGGAAATACACCAATATGACGCTGTGAACAAGGGACGCCGAAGTGCATCCACACACACACACACACACACACACACATGAAACACACACACACATGAAACACACATCAGCACACATCTGATAGAACGATCCCCGGCTCTCCACAGCTGTCTATCTGCCGTCTTGACATTGCAATCCTCAGCCGCGGTGGTAACCCCTATCTATAATTGATATCCTCAGCGCGGAATGGGCTGCCTCCCGCGTTTGAAGGGTCTCGGCTCAAAGGTGGAGAATCTTGACAACTTCTTGCCCCTGTTTTCAGGGGGCGGGACGAGCTGAGGCGGTGGGAGAGGAGGCGGGAGGACGGCTGCGTAATAGAGGGGGAAAGCGCGCTCACGTCCGTCCCCCCCTTCCCCCCTTCCCCCTTGCTGTAATCACGGCAGGTGGCCATCCGAGCAAAACAGTCCTCGTCCTCGCTCCTCGTGCGCCATCCTGCCCGAACAACCCCCCCCTTCTTTCCCTTTCTGCCGTTTGACTTTCCCATGTTGCGTTATATTTCTAATTTCCCATTCACATGCAGATATGCAGAGAGATGCCAATAAAAGTCCTCGCCTACAGAATCCGTGCCCTCTAATTCAGCAGAGCGGACGAGCAAGCGCTCTTATCTCCCCCCCCCCTGTAATAGGATAAGTACAGTATTTGGACCACAGTGGCTCTTCTCACACACTGGGGGGGGGGGGGTTTGGGGGTTCCATATAACCAAACAATGGAGCGTCCCTTCCCCCTTGTACTTGTCTTCTGAAATGGCTTTAGGGGAGAAAAACATGATGAAAAGTCTCACTGGTTGAAACCACATTTTAAACGAGCAGCTTTTGCACAAAGTTAAAACTCGCCGATTAGAATATGGGACGGGCCGCGGTGCGTCTGCGTCATCGGAAAAACGCACCCCGGAAGCGTTAAACGCGACAGCCGCGCTGATTCAAACACCCCCTTTTTCCCCTTTGTGGTTTGGCCTAATTTTAGAATTAAGCCTTCACACCACCCTCATCGCTCCCCACCTTGTTGAAAAGCTCCTCAGAAACCCGCCTCTACCCTCTCAGGCCGGCTCTCACCACGACATGCCGCCGCGCTCCTTTATCACCCGCGTTAAAGCGCTCTCGGTGCAGCCGATAAGATAAACATCAGATCTGTGCAATTTAGCTCACTTATCTGGCCTACCCAGTCAGCAGAAGCGAGGCGGGTGTCAATTTTAGTTTGCCGTGTTTACTTCATTTATTATATTTCAACTCTCTATACCTCTCCGTCTCTCTCGCCGCGCTCCTTCTCTGGGCATTTCCTCTCTCTCATTTTCGCTTTCATTTCTGTTTCTCCCTCCCCCTTTTTTCCCCTTGAAGGGAGCACTTTTAAAGATAAGGCCTGGTGGCTTCTTTAATGTCTCTCTTGAAGTGGGCTTTGTTCACTCTTTTTTTTTTTTTTTTGTCGCTGGAGATGCCAACCCCACACTCCCATAACTGCCCAATATGGCCTCGCTCAACAAGCTTTTATTTTCCCATTGATGTGTTACTGATGCGGCGCAGTTCCCTGGAACAGGTGTGGTGTAAAAAAGCATCTTTGTTAAATAAAAGTGGTGCCAAATTTCAATCTGCATTCAGTTGGTTGTTTCTATTTCGGGCTTGCTAAGGCTGTTTTAGGGTGAGACGGGGGGGGCGCTGATGGGGTAGGTGGTCTGAGTCTGAGTGTGTTCTCGCAGCTCATCAGCCCCCCCCCCCCCCCCCCCCCCCCTCCCTCCGCAGTCTTACCACCCGGTTCCAGGTCATCTACATAGGTGGCGCTTGTTCTTCGATGGGGAGCCGGCTCTCCCTCGCCGAGGCGGCGGCGGCGGCTGCTGCGCGTCTCCCCCGGTGTTAAAGGCAGATAAACGCGGGCGCAGTTTGAAGGCGTCTACCCCCCCACCCCCCCCCCCCCCGCCCCTACCCTCCCCCCTCCGGCTGTTGGCGCAGGCTTTTAATTGGTAAAATGCAGATTTTTCTTGATCAGGAGAAGGATTAGGTCGCTTATCTGTCAAGAGTATCTCACTCTCAAGATGAAAAGACTGTGCTGAATTACACACGCCAATTCCAGCTCCCTGCCCCCTGCTCGCTCGCATCCTCCCTCCTACCTTCGCTCCACTCCATTTTTCACATTACATCCTCCCTCCTTCATCCCTCCCTTCTTTGCCTCCCCCCGCCCCCCCCCCCACCCTCCATCTCTTTACACAAAGCACTTCAGCAACTGACATCACAAAAGAGCATATGATTTATTAGGCGGTGTTTGATAAAGCTAAACGGTGTTGCGGGTCCCACAGCTTAGTGAAATTGCCCTTGTAAACAGGCCCTCTTTTCATGCACGCTCGCATTCTAATGCATGAGGGCTGCGTCCCAGAGAGAGTTTGATAAGGAGACATGGAGACGGAGGCTAAAGTGGGCAAATGCCGGGAAATAAGGGGAGAGGAAAACAAAAAAAAAGATGGGATTACAGTAACGTGTGGAGAGATCTGCTTGAGTGCAGAGGGAGAGAAATCCTTATGAATCAGAATTTTGGAGAATACAGAAAAATAAATGTTAAATTGTTTGTGTGCTTTAGTGTTATTTATATGTACGTGTCTTTGCCTGTCTCTCATGCAGCAGGGTGTATATATGCATATATATATATATATATATATATCATACGGCTTCAGTGTCCCCCAGCGTCCGTGTCCCCGGCGCTCCCTGTCGTGCGACTCCCTCCTAAATCCATCTTGGTGGCGTTTTTACAGTTGTTGGCCGATAAGCTGGCAGGGGGAAGAATATTCACTCGCCGCCCCGGCGCTATCAGCACCTGTTTGTCGATTTAGCCGGCCGACGGGGCCTGTCTGCTCAGCATGGAGATTATTGATTCAATAAGAATTGCCATTAGATCACGCCATTAGGTCCCCCCCCCCACCGCTGTCTGTCCCCCTCTCTGTCAGCTCGGAGGCCCATGCATCACCCCCCGTCAACGACCTCCTCCATTTGAACAAACGGGGGTTGCGGGTGTGTGTCCGTCGGCGTGTTGGTGCCAGCCACCCGCGTGATCCGCCGCCGCGGCCGCCGCGCTCTCCCATCGCTCTCGGCCCGGGGGGATATTGAACGCTGCCGGCGGCAGAGCGATTGCTTGCCACGGGGATTCCCTCTCGCGGAGAGGGAGAGGAGGGAGAAGACGACTCAGGCTTCCTGAGGCTCGGGCCGAGGCGGGCAGCAGATCAATCTTGGGGGGGAACTTCACTAACGTCCGCGGCCGTCCGAGTCTCCAATCATTTTCCCGTGGAATTAGTCTTGTTTTGTCACTTTAGAATTAAAAAAGTGTCAAGTGAGAGTAATGGAGGTCCATTGCGGATGTATTAATGTCAATTTTACTCCTTGCTTTTGCTGTCGCACCCTGCTGTTACTGCGCTCACTCATTTGTCGCCCCCCCCCCCCCCCTCTTCGGTGCTGATGGGAAATGAGTGCGCGCTGGTCGAAAACGTCTTGGGAAAAGAAAGATTTTCTCTCTCGTAGATGTCACGGTTACGGTTACACGCGGGGGTCATGATCTGGCCAGTGGGGCGGGGGCAGCGGGAAGGCACAGAGATGCCATTGTCAGAGCCGTGCCATGCCTGGGGGAGGACTGTCCCCGACCGCTTTATTTGCTTTGGTGCTGCATGTTTTATAGCTCAACAATCTTTGCAGGAAGAAGCTCAAAGAAAGCACCCCCCCCCCAGACGTTTAAGAGCATTTAAAGTCAAGTCTCTGTTTATCGCCCTTCCTTCCCTCCTGTTTCTGTCCGTCGCTCTTCATTCACCCCCCCGAGGTAAAAAGACTCCTCTCCACTGCTCTGGAATGTAATAATACCCGTTTGTACTGCTCAGGATATTGTCTCTGTCTCCGTGGCTTTAAATTGCTCCCTAAAATGCACTTCAGAGGCCTACGAAGGGGAGCCAGATGTCGACTTTGTCCCCAAAGGCTCTGCGGTCCTTCATTCCTCTGTAGCATCTACCCCAAGTTTCACAAGTTGGCCGGTGAGGGAAGCGGAAGGAGGCAATGGGAGATGGAGAAGGACCGCGTGGCTGGAGCTGTGACGCCGCGCATCCAGGCGCCGCGACTGAACTCTAGATTTCTTGGCCCGTCTCCTCAGCTCCCTCCCGCCTCTCCTCCCCTCCTTCCTTAGCCTGACATTGTTGCCACGGCAGCACAACTGTCAGCGCTTGTCACAGCGGGGCGAGGGCCCAATATGATACGGGGTGACAGGTTTTTTATTTCAAAAAATCCTGTTCCGATCGGACCCCGAGACTCACGAGTCAGGCGGAGAAAGAGAATGACTGAAAAAAAGAGAGAGAGGGAAAGAAATGAAATGAACACATAAAACGATGCAGGAAAGTGAATGTTTTTATTTCCCTCTCGAGCTGCAGAGCAAAGAAATTCCTCCGGCTGAACAACAAATCAGTGTCACGGCCAAATAGTGTTCCACTTTGGCTAAAGTGCTTTCATCTTCTCTTCTAGCACATCAACAATGACCACATCCACGGGGAGAAGAAGGAGTTTGTGTGTCGATGGGAGGAATGCTCTCGAGAGCAGAAGCCCTTCAAGGCGCAATACATGCTGGTGGTCCACATGCGCCGACACACCGGGGAAAAGCCCCACAAGTGCACAGTAAGGAAACTGCAATTTGCCTTCCCGCGTTTGCAGGCGAAGGGCTGTTTTTTTTTTTTACATGTGTGAGATTCAGGCCGCGTGAGTGAAGTGCCCTTCTCCCTCGCCCCGCAGTTCGAGGGCTGCGCCAAGGCCTACTCCCGACTGGAAAACCTCAAGACTCACCTGCGCTCGCACACCGGAGAGAAACCGTACGTGTGTGAGCACGAAGGCTGCAACAAGGCCTTTTCCAACGCGTCGGACCGGGCCAAGCATCAGAACCGAACACACTCGAACGAGGTACTGAAAGAAACCGCCGCCTTTTTGACTTCGCGTGCGTTGGCGCGCTCTTCTCACCCGCCGCGCGTCCTTTCCTTCCTAGAAACCGTACGTGTGTAAAATCCAGGGCTGCACCAAGCGCTACACGGACCCCAGCTCCCTGCGCAAGCACGTGAAGACGGTGCACGGGCCGGAGGCGCACGTCACCAAGAAGCAGCGCGGAGATTACCCGCGCCCGCCGCCCCCGCGGGAGCACGGCGGGGGCGGCGGCGGCGGCCAGGGCCGGTCGCCGGGGCAACTGCCCCTGGGTGGGTACACGGACCAAAGGGAGTACAACCATGCTACCTCAAAACAGGATGAATGTCTACAGGTCAAGTCCATCAAGACAGAGAAGCCCATGGTGAGACTTTATTCATTCATTTACTCATTCATTTCATTTGCTACTAATTCCTTTATATTAACATAGCTGGTTTGAACTACTACGTTCCTGTGGGATGTAACATTGAAGGTGGGGCGTGCACGTTTAACACTGACTCCTTCTAATGAATGCACTTTCTCTCTCATTCCAATGCTTCGGCATTTCTCTCCTTCCCTTTCTAAGGACAGTGGGTAATCAGGTGAGATAGGTATCCCTTCACATTGCACGTTAAATATTCTTTCTCACTGTTTCCCGTCTTGCTCATCGTGTAACTGTCTTTTCTCGTCCCACATCACACGTGCTTGACTTTCACCCCCCCCCCCCCCTCCCCAAAAAAAAAAAGATTTGTTCTCATTGGAAGTTTCCGTCATCCCACACGTTCATAAAAAACGCTTATTCCACTCATTTCACGTCGCTTTGAAGAGGGGCGATGGTGTTTGCCAAAGGGGAAAGCATGTTCTTTCGGAGCGATGCCCGTGCCGTGAGGGCGCTGAAGCCGTGCCCGCTACGGCCCAGGGGTCCGCCGCGCAGCCAACTTCGTTCGGCGGCAGACAGGGTGAACAATGTCCGCGCTTGATGCCAAAGAAAGTTAATTCCGTCGTTCCTCAGTGCAACGCAGTTCCTCAAACTCAGTCAACAAACCAATTAGGCTCCGGCCGCTCACACAAGAGGCCTTTTATCCTCGTTTGCCTGTCCTCTGAAAACAACACAAACATGCTTTCTCTTTTCTCTCTCGTTGGGCGTGTTTGTCTCGACCGGCCCACGGGGAGGGTGGGGGTGAGAAGGGGGGGGGGGGGGGGATTACTCCTGCCCCAATAATGTACAAAAGTTTCATCAATGCGGCAGTTGATCGTTTGTTCGCGCAACCAGCTCACGCTGCCATGACGACGCAAGAAACTGTCTCTCGTTCCCTGAAATAAACTCTCTGAAATAATCACCGGCGTGTACTTTCCTCCTCCTGTGCCCGTCAGACGTCTCAGCCAAGCCCTGGCGGTCAGTCTACATGCAGCAGTGACCAGTCCCCCGTCAGCCACTATCCCTGCAGTGGAGTCCAGCTTGCTGTGAGCGCCGGACGCTCGCTAGGGGAGGGGCTGGAGGAGGACGAGGAGAAAGAGGAAAACGAAGAGGAGGAGGACTGCGTGGGCGAGCGGGCCCCCATCATGGACTCCACAGTCTCCACGGCGACCGCGGCCATGCTGACCCTGCAGGCGAGGCGGAGCGTTGGCCGCCCGCTGCGCTGGATGGAGCACATGAAGATGGAGAGGCTGAAGCAGGTGAACGGAGCGCTGCCCAGACTGGGGCCCCTGTCCCCTACACCCCCCCCGAAAGGTTCCACACTACCCAACATCCTGGGGAAGGGTAAGACTCATTTTAAGTTCCACCATTACATAATAATACATGATGTAAATAAATGTAAAGTGGGGATGAGAACATTTAGCCTGAATGCTCTTAACGGGTTAAACCCTTTAAAGTGTGCAACCTTCACAAAATTAAAATAATAAATAAAAGCATGTAGCTTCCTTATTCCCACACGGGGCATCTTTGACCGCGGTGAAATATCCCCTTTGCAGAGAATTCAAACATCACCACAGATTTGTGTTTAAATCCGGCTGTGAGAAATAAATTATCCCCGGATTCCATCTTCCCCGTTTGGTTGCTGGAGCGCTCAGGCAAAACAGATGCTTAAAATCTACTGTTCCGCTGGAAAATGGTATCAGAACCATATCAAGCCGTATATCATATCGGGGGGGGGGGGGAAACAACAAGCTACGATGATTTATTCAAACACAAGTTGCGTCAAATAAGGGAAATGTTTACTGAATGTGGATGAAACCGTCACGTCTCCGCGGCATACAAAATTACCTACCTTGACATTGCGTTCCGCACTCTGGGAGGAGATTTTGACGGCCACGGACAGCATGCTGCGGGCCTCGAGCCCGATGCCCTCCGACGGGGTCGAGGCCCTCTCGGGACAGGTCTCGGATTGGTAGATGGTCGGCTCCAGCCAGTGGGGATGCGTCCTGCATGGCAACTTGACATCCGAGACAGAGGTGCCTCCATTCACGAGGCCTGAACAGATTAACAGAGGGACAGGAATGACGAACGGGTGATGTAGAAACTCCCCGGTCGATATGTGGGAAAAATATCACGTACCCAAACACGGTTATGGTGAATGTGTTTGTTTTACCTTGATGATACATGTGCATATTACTGGTGTGAAAACAGATGTAGTGTGGGTCCTTATATCCTCGTACTGCGTCAAACTGAACAAGA